TCAATAAGCAATCCTGAAAAATATTTGGGGGTGCTTAACTTTTTTCCAGGTGTATAGTTAGGAGTGACTAAAGCTGTAACAACTAAATAGATACAACTGATTAATACTGTAACAATTGGATGGATGTTTTTTGTTGTTTTTCTATGGCTCTTGTTGATAGCTAGATACATTTTTTTATCTTAGAGGAACCTATTGCTGGAAAAAGTGTCCAATAATTTGAATCACTAGTGCACGTTTACAAACAGTTCTGTCTCTTAATCACTCTGCGGACTTACAGCGCTAGAAACCTGGTTTCGATACCCGTGGTAGGCAAAGCACAGATAACCCATTGTGTAGTTTATGCTTAACTTCAAACAAACAAGCGAATCCTTAATCACAGAACGACATTTTATCTTTATAAATGTAATAAAACTTTTAGAATAAAATAAAACATTTTTCTACGAATTTCAAAATAAGGTAAGATACTTAATGCCTGATGTAAATTAACTTGCCTTAAACTTAAAGTGATTTTAAAATGTACAAGCTGCTCAAAATACAAAAGATAAAGATACCCATTTTTCTCTTTAATATACAACTAACTATAAAGAGGATGATTATTAAAATGACGCACACCAAAAACATTGATATGTGTGTGTGTGTGTGCGAATATCAAATGAGGACTCCAGGGTTCTTCGACTAATGATGACGTAAACTATGTTAAAAGCTTGAACTCTTCAGTTCTACTTTTATCCAGTTTTTACACTCATTCAACGAATAGTAACGTTTCTCATGACGCCAATAAAGAAGTCGTGTTTATTAAGCAACCTTTTCTATTTGTAAAGATCAGAATGCATTGTTTAACCAATTGGGTATTCTCGCTGTTAACAATAGAATGTGTGAAAGCTTGCCTATAACTTAACAACATAAAATTATAATACCCGTCCTTAATTTAGCTTGTGCTACTCTTTTACCAACGAATAGTGGATTGACCATCACATATGACGCCCCCCCGGCTGAAATGGCGAGAATGTTTGGTGGGACTGGGATTCGAACCCGTGACCATCAAATTGTGCGTCAAGCGTTTTAACCACCTGGCCATGATTTATCGTTTGTATAGAATAACATAACAACTACTTAGACAATTAGTGTGGAGACCTATTATATTCTCCACACATTAGCGCGGATTTTAGTCGATATTTCTTAGCTATTACTGTGAGGTTATATATAAGTGATGTGTCCAAAAGTAATGTAAAATCTAGTAGCTTAGCAGACTATACTAAATAGTGTCTCAGCGCGAATTTTGATATTTTATGATACTTCTAATCATCGTGATAATAACATGCAAAGTTACAGCTCGAATGACAACTGTAACCAGAAACATAACTCTCGATCTGACTAAACTATTTCACGTTTCCTTTGTTGAAAATGGATGCAACTTGACAATTAATTCTAGTGATACTTCTATTTTTACTTAACAACTTACACATTAAATAAAAGAAACATTTGGCTTGACTTCAGTGTTAAAAATCAAGTACTCACGTGTTTTAGGTTTTTTTATAATATTTTTTAGATGTATTTTTAATGCTTCATTGGAACACAGATTACATAAATTAGCCAAAAACATTTAACTCGAAATCAAAGATATAGTTATTGGAGATAGAGTTATTTTAAGGTATTCAGGTACAGTTTCATATATGAGTAACTTTTGGTAAATACAAAGGTATTTTATTCTTCAAAATTAAGTTATTCGTAAGCCGTAGGAACAGTTTATGCCAACTTCAATTTTAGTTTCAAAATCATATACATATATGATGAAAAAAAAAGGCTGCTACCAAAAATCATTGTATTTTAAGTAATTTAATGCAGTACCCAAAACTACGGACTTTCGAGATTTATTTTAATCGTCATTTGTCTTTTTTGTGTCATTTTAAATTTAAAGACAGACACTATGACCAGTACGTCAGTTTGTAGACAGCTAATGTCATTAGAGTGTCACCATACGTTAGAAGTTTCACCTTGATAATCAGTCTACCAAACAGAAAGTACTAGTTTAACATAGTCTAGGAATGGCTGTGCTAAGTAACAAAGGGAGCTTGTAAATATTTGCTTGACAGCTAAGAAAAGTTAGAGCAATGGTAGTAGCAGGGTAAATTGGGTCGCCACTTTGTGGCGTTGGTTGTGAGTACTGCACAACTATAAAACGAAACTTTGATGGTACATTGTAACTCTGTACAACAGGCAATAAGTAATACAACTTTCCAACTCCAGAAGTGTAAATTAATTCTTACAAAGAGATTAGTAGATGAACTCAAATTTTTGGATATTTCTCTTTCTCTACTTCTTTATTATTTCATCTAGCAATGAAACAATTAACTTCTAAAAGGATTTGTAACCCATGCCACAAAATTAGCATATTTAAGGCTATCTGGACCTGTAACCCATGCCACAAAATTAGCTTATTCAAGGCTATGTGGACCTGTAACCCATGCCACAAAATTAGCATATTCAAGGCTATCTGGATCTGTAACCCATGCCACAAAATTAGCTTATTCAAGGCTATGTGGACCTGTAACCCATGCCACAAAATTAGCTTATTCAAGGCTATGTGGACCTGTAACCCATGCCACAAAATTAGCTTATTCAAGGCTATCTGGACGTGTAACCCATGCCACAAAATTTGCATATTCAAGGCTATCTGGACCTATAACCCATGCCACAAAATTAGCACATTCAAGGTTATCTTTATGGTACTTCAGCTATATCTAAAATAATTTCAAAGTTTGTATTTTTTGTGCGTCATGAGTTTTTAATCATACACGAAGAAACCAACGTCACCAGTAGCCCAATAAATAATAATTTAATTTTTCGCAGTATTTATTACTACATTAAATGAATTAAAAATGATCAAATTAGCAGTCCAAAGAAGATTTCTGTTTATTATATTCTGATTATTATTTTGCGTTGACTAATATCTTACACTTGCAGGTTTCGTAGACCTGCATTGAAAAAGGCAAGGAACTGAATTTTTAAATTACAATATTTTGAATTTTAAGAAAACAACACTAAATGTTAAAATGCCAGCCAGTAATATTGATTCCGGTCATCAGACGAATCGCCAACAATATTTCTATTGTAAGTAAACTAACAACAATTTATCACACACTCATGACAAATGCTGATTTGATGTATAGGAAGGATATGTAGTTTATGTTTTCTATATGAGTAAGAAGTTCCAACAATGCTTCCACGGTCAGTAAAGTAACAACAATTTATCACAATGTTTTCTATATGAGTAAGAAGTTCCAACAATGCTTCCACGATCAGTAAAGTAACAACAATTTATCACAATGTTTTCTATATGAGTAAGAAGTTCCAACAATGCTTCCACGATCAGTAAAGTATCAACAATTTATCACAATGTTTTCTATATGAGTAAAATGGTTGAGACACTATTTGTATTAGCAAATTGCTTTAACATAAAATATTTGTGAAATAGATTAAATTGATGAATTGTGATTTTTATCAATTTTATTTTTAAGTCATTAAACGTCAGAATGATGTTCATTATTATCAAATTATTCGTTTATTTTAACAACGAAATTGTTTTAATATTAATATTATTTATTTACTTAAATTAACTCTACTTATCTTTCCGAAGAACCAGTGAGTTATTCTTTTTTTAATCACGGAACGCTTCAAGTGACCCCAAGACTACGTTAGTAACAAGAGGGGCTACTCAGTCGAGCACATGCTCCCGCCACACTGCGTTTATCAAATTCGGCTCTCAAAAAATACGAAAATATGTCCGTGTGTCCGTCGATATCAACAAACAAGGACTATTTTTGGCGGGACAATCAGAAATAATATTCTACACATGTCCACGAAGCTTCATCAAAATCAGATCATTTTAAACTGAGTTATAGGGCAAAAATAGTGTGAAAAATCGGTCCCCATGTTAACAGATAGGTGTTTTTATGGATTTTCGGGACGTTGCTGTGACTTGGACCTTGACCCTCCAAAAACGTCTAAGTTGGGTCATAGTCCAAATGTATACCCAGTTTCGTCCAAGTCCATTCAGCTGTTTTCGAGAAACCTTGCTGACAAACTCTCTCTCTCACACACACACACAGAGATGAAACATAACCTCCGTTTAAGGTAATGCCGATTAACTTTAGTGTGTTGATAACCATGAGCTCTTACTATACATAGCTAATAATAGCTATATAAAAATTTCATATATGGTATAACATTACGTCATTAGTTAAATTACATCAATTTCTGCTAATTACTTTGATTGTCCTATTTAGTATTGTTATCAATTCCCTCTCTAAGTCTTACTATACTTTAATTGTCACGTTTAGCATTGTTATCACTTCGATAAGATTCGATAATAGTACTAAGACTTAGAAATGGTTCTAAGTCTTAGTAGTATTATCGAATCTTATCGAGATTATTTTTCGGCTGAGAACTTAACTTTATGTGTTACTTCTTACTGACTGTTCCACGTGTTAAGCGACAGGATTAGTTAAAGACGGTTTAGTTGTGTCAGACACACTTCATAGCATGTTTAATATATTGTTTTTCTTTTTATTATTCATATATATATATTCATAAACAAAAGCTTTTTTGCTGCACTATCGGTATTGTCCTGCTACCTGACGTAACTCAAATGTACTCAATTATTTTTAATGTTACTTTCATTGGTTAGAATGTTTAATATATTTGCTATTTTCTATAATACAGATTATTTTAGCTTAATACGTGGATTTAGGACTAATCTAAATCTCCTAAGCTAGCCGAACCTCTGTATATATTATTGGGTTTACGGCCAAAGATATCGTGAACAGTGAGCGTACCCAACTAATGAAAAAGGCATTTCAATTTTTATAAGTAAGGATGTAGGAATAGTATACTTAATTACTTATACTCATCTTCGGATTAAATTTTATCACAAAATAATTCCTACATGTTAAGCTATGGGTGCGTTATAAGAGTGGCAGTCATTGGCATAGCGGGATCGGTAGGGTGCATCTGAATAGCTGCTTCTGTCTGATCAGTAGTTCATAATTACTGACAGTGACAAATAGCCTTAGTAACTTTAAAATGGATACAAAATAGAAATGCTTTAATGAATTAATGTCATAAACCACTTCAATAACTGTAATAAGTCATTACTTCATTTTGTTTCCCTGAAATGTTATATTAAGGCACTAATAACATTTTGTTAATTTGGATGAAATTTATTTATCAAGATCGATGCCCAGGGGCATTCCACTTCTTGGTACACTGGGGCATTTTTTTTTACTAAGGCATTTTCCCCATCAGATCAATCCAACGGGATAATTATCTTAATTTGTGTAATGCATTAGAATGCTGAATCAATAATCAACTATGTCATTTTTAATTTAAATGTTTCATTAGCTTTAGTTGGTAATTACGACAATTCGCTGTGATATTTCGTTTATTATACGATTGATAAGAATGAAGCGTTGGATATTTTGTTCGTGAATGAGAATAAATTAAAACATTTTGCTCCTTTTTCCCACAAACATAAACCCTGTAAAAAGAAGAGGACATGGACACAATATTCAGCCAGGATGATCAACAACTACTTTGGACCCATCCTTATGTGATAAATTTGTTCAAGATTATGTTTTGTGAATGAAAATAAAAAAACGACATTGCAACAGAAAACAGCTCGGACTTTACAAATAACATGAGATAAAAATACCAGTGTTCGCTTTGAAACCGTTGTTCATCAAGTGAACATCTTCCTCGTTAAGAATGTTCGCTTTGAAACCGTTGTTCATCAAGTGAACATCTTCCTCGTTAAGTATGTTCGCTTTGAAACCGTTGTTCATCAAGTGAACATCTTCCTCGTTAAGTATGTTCGCTTTGAAACCGTTGTTCATCAAGTGAACATCTTCCTCGTTAAGAATATTCGCTTTGAAACCGTTGTTCATCAAGTGAACATCTTCCTCGTTAAGTACGCTTGAAGTTGAAATTATATTTGTTTTTTCATGATCGCATCAACATCTTCATCAAGTACATTTGTACTTGAAATTATACTCGTTTTGTAGGTGTCTCTGCTTAAAAGCATAAATAGTTGGAGCATACTTTTTATCATATTGTTGAAATTGATGTGAATGTGTTATTTGACTAACTTAACTACACCTGAACTCAGAGCATAATTTTTATCATATATTGTTGAAATTTATGTGAATGTGTTATTTGACTAACTTAACTACACCTGAACTCAGAGCATAATTTTTATCATATTGTTGAAATTGATGTGAATGTGTTATTTGACTAACTTAACTACACCTGAACTCAGAGCATAATTTTTATCATATTGTTGAAATTGATGTGAATGTGTTATTTGATTAACTTAATTACACCTGAACACAGAGCATACGTTTTATCATATTGTTGAAATTGGCGTGAATGTGTTACGCGTGTAACACAAATATCCCTGTAGTGCGGGACATTAGGTGGTTATCAGAGCTGCATTTTTATTAAGGTTAGTAAAGTTAATGGACTTATTTTTTCATAGGTGGGAAGAAAACCAGAATAACGTATCATCTCAGGTTACTGGCATCGCTTTGTCTTTGGATAAAGTGATGATGACAGAGACTGAGGAAGAGAACTTAGAAGGACACATAGCGTACAAAGATCAGGTTAGAGTCGTGTACGTTTTGTCACTTATATATATATATATTATTGTGTTTGGTTGTATGTCTGTTCTAACTGTTTCTAATCCAAGGCGTTAGATGTAGTAGTGTAATACTGATTAAAGGACTACGACAACCTAAATAAAACATGTTGAACGTTTTATAAATTTGAGATTTCAGAAACAAAAACGTACATAATGCTAATAAAGATTGCCATGGGATATAAATACGTTCAATCTATCAGTCATAAAATGAGTAGGGCTAGTTTGTATCGCATGGCTATATTATTAATTACAAGATATAAAATGTTTATCATAAGATATAATCAACGGCTTTTAGCTTTGTTTTGAAATGCTATTGCCAGGTAAATTTAAAGTAAGACACGTGATAACTTTAATTAGCCTGCCTTTATGTGTTATCTATAACCATCAAACAAACATACATCATTTGATTACCTCTACGTGCCCTAACTCTCATCAGTTTGTTGATTTCCTTATCTTTATGTTGTGTAAGTTCATTTTGACTTTATCTGTGTGTATTACCCATGAGAAACGGAACTCAAATGAACTGTCCAATAATCTTATAAGTTAGTAATAAAGAAGAGAACAGATTTGGGTTTATGGAGCGTGACAAAATTAATTACTTGTATGTGTTATGAAGAAAAAAGAATGTAAGTACGGAGTTTGTTTCACATGTGTTTGTATGTTCTTGTTAGTCTCTTATTTTTTTATTTGACATTTTATTAACAATTTTAAGTAGCGAAAAAATAATTATAGAGCCGAGAAATGTTTTTAATTTCCTTTACGAATACAGCGCGCTACCTGAAATTAAGATTAGATAAATGTATTATGTTTCAAAGCGCCACCTAAAAATATGACTAAGCTAAACTGAAATATTTAGGCTTTAATTAAATCTAAAATTAATTACTGGACTTGATTTTATCTTATTTAGAAGCATGAATTATATTCAAACTTTTAACCAAATACATATAAGCTTTCCCTGTTCATGATAAAGCACAGTACATCATTAAGCTCAATACCAAGTTATAAAATTGTCATGTGGTTTGGTGTGAGACAAAATCGCTTAACGACAGCCAGAACTTTTGTTTATTTGTTAATACGATATTTGTGTTAGTGTAAACTGAAACTATGTGCTTATTAACAGCTGCTGTAAATGATAACTCCTACTTACTCTTAAATGTTCAAATATTCTAATACTGCTTAATAGGCCTAACAGGATGGCTTTAAATGTTCAAATATCCTAATACTGTTTAATAGGCCTAACAGGACGGCCTTTGGCACAGTATTATTAGGAACTTCTGACCTAGCTTAGACTAACTATATAGGTGCCTTCAGTTACACCTAAGTAGTCATCGCATTAAGATTAATTTAATTAGTAAGATATTGAAATATGTACTGTTCTATATGTCTTTCACTTATCCAAATGTTTTACTTTGTATTTCTTCGAAGATTTTATAGACGCTATTGTCAGGGCAAATGAAATTATTGCTTAATGTGTTAATGTGTAAAAACCAATGACCAGTAATCTTTATTAAATCCTATTCAATGTCTGTTGCTAGATATTTACAGTTGGCTGTAGTAGATTGTTTTACACTCGGTTTAACAATCTTGTCAAAACAATTTCTTATAAAATGTTATTGTCTTTTGTTTGGTTTTGGAGACGACGTTTCGGGCATTTCTGTGCTGAGTTCTATATCAGTACAGAGTCAGAAACGTTGTTTACAAAAGAGACAAAAGACAGAAATAGTCCATAAAAACTATTGAATATATCAACACACTGCCCCAAAAAAATCTTTAAAAGAATCTATTTCAGTGAAAAGAATATAAAAAATTTATTAAAGCTGTTTGGTTCACCTGCATTATAAAATCTGGTTCTGATGATGAGCTATTAGTGATTCTGTTGATATGGTAGAAGAGCGTTTATTCCACTGGTTAAAGTGTTGGAAACTTTCTTTCATTCACACTCCTACTAAGATAATGTAAAATACGAACATTTGTTTTTCTACGATTGGCTTTTATGAACGGAGAAACCTGGCGGGATTCCTAAATAGACTAACCTAATAGTATCAATAAGCAGAAACATGTGGATATATTCAAAGAGAGGTAATACCTTAGACGTAGAAACAAGCAAGTAAAACTAGTAGAAGTGTTCAGAAAGATTGTTTGTTTTTTGTTGTTTTTTTTTTAATTTCGCGCAAAGCTACACTAGGGCTATCTGCGCTAGCCGTCCCTAATTTAGCAGTGTAAGACTAGAGGGAAGGCAGCTAGTCATCACCACCCACCGCCAACTCTTGGGCTACTCTTTTTACCAACGAATAGTGGGATTGACCTTCACATTATAACGCCCCCACGGCTAAAAGTGCGAGCATGTTTGGCGTGACAGGGATTCGAACCCGCGACTCTCAGATTGCGAGTCGAGTGCCTTAACTACCTGGCCATGATGGGCGTTCAGAAAGAGATGACCTTATATGTAGAAACAAGCAAGTAAATCTCATAGAAGTGCTCAAAACAAATTGTCATATTGGTGTGTAATAACACTTTTCCTATTAGTTTTTAATGACAGATTGTCCTATTAGTGTTCAATAACCATCTCTACAATTATACAATACTGACTGTATTTAAATATGATTTACTCGGGTCTAGAACAACTGCGGATGGACAATTGCCTGTATAGGACAACTGCCAGTCAAAGGATCTGAGAAATCCAAATTCCCAAAAGAAAATTTAATACATGTATTTTAAAGAAGGATTGTCTAGATTTTAAACCAAAAGGCCGTTTACATTTTTTTTCCATTTAGTAACTATTTAGTAATTAAATTGCTAATATCCAATGTTATATAATAACACTAACAGCATATAACCTGTAAAAATAAAACTGAAAAGTCAATATCTTAAGTAGTGATTAAAATGTTAGTAACTTCTGATATTATTGTAAACTGGGTAGGAAGTTTGGAATAAATAATTAATTTGTTAATGACAATCCCCTCTATTTTCATACTTTTATTAACAATTTTAAGAACCACTATCATGGAGTGGGTAGGAAGTTTGGAATAAATAATTAATTTGTTAATGACAATCCCCTCTATTTTCTTATTTTTAGTAACAATTCTAGGAACTACTATCATGGACTGGGTAGGAAGTTTGGAATAAATAATTAATTTGTTAATGACAATCCCCTCTATTTTGTTACTTTTATTAACAATTCTAGGAACCACTATCATGGACTGTGTAGGAAGTTTAGAATAAATAATTAATTTGTTAATGACAATCCCCTTTATTTTCTTACTTTTATTAACAATTTTAAGAACCACTATCATAGACTGGGTATGAAGTTTGGAATAAATGATTAATTTGTTAATGACAATCCCCTCTATTTTCTTACTTTTATTAACAATTCTAGGAACCACTATCATGGACTGGGTATGAAGTTTGGAATAAGTAATGAACCTGACTTAATGAAAATTATTTTTTATTTACTTTTCTTGATAATTCTAGTAATCATTTTTACATATCTATATATTTTCGAACTATAAGATGAAAAATTTCATATTTTTTGTTAAATACTTACAACTGGCAAAGGAATAAACTATAAACTTGATTAACTTTATTACTAGAGTTGCCTGAATCGTACGCGGTCTAACCGTTGTTGAAGAAATCGAAATGGTAAGACTATTTCGTTATGAAGAGGTTTCTTTTCTTGCAGAGAAACGCTGACACCATCTCTCGCGCGTCCCAGCTCCAAGAAGAAAAGTCTAGTGCACTGTGTTTACCAACTGTGAATGTTTCTATTCTTGGGTCGAAAGATGCAAAAGAAATCGCGCCAGCTTCAAGCGACCTGACCCCAATGGAACAATATAGTAAACTGACGCTCCCTAACGAAGAACCTCTCACTCACGCTCGAGGTATTTCCGAGGGCTTGTCGTCCAAAAATGAAAGGCAAAAGAAAAAACCTCAAGGTTTTAGGGAGAACTTGCGCGAAAGGGGAACCAGTAAGATTCGTCAAGAACAGTCGTCATGTGTGTGGGAGGGTTGCAAGTCAGATTCAAACCATCCGCCTCATATGACATCTATAACTCCGACGTTTTCTGGTAACAGTGAGCCAGAAGATCGCGTGGATCTTACTCCGCCGTCCACTATCGTCCCCGAAACGACCGATAACTCTTTGGCTCCGAAGGGGCAAATTACCACCATTATTACTCCAATGTTTAAAGTGAAAAAATTTGATACAAAAACGACTAAGGACTTAAATGAATATGTCTGGAAACCGCCAGGTTTTAATTCACTACCACGCCCAAAAGATGTCCCTTCATTTTCTCAGAAGTTTTTGTCCACGTTTTCTTCAACAGCAACAACTACAGTCACAACATCGACTACAACCCCAACGCTGACATCAAATGTAACCATGGCACCGAAACAAGAGGTAAGCTCTTTTAAATCGTCCGTAAATCTATTAAAGTTGACACGTTTTAAACTAATCTATTAAAGTTGACACATTTTAAACTAATCTACTAAGTTGACACATTTTAAACTAATCTACTAAAGTTGACACATTTTAAACTAATCTATTAAAATTGACACACTTTAAACTAATCTATTGAAGTTGACACATTTTAAACTAAGCTAATAAAGTTGACACATTTTAAACTGAGAATATTTGCAGGTTATTGCAAGAAAATTGTGAAACTGGTAGAGAATATATAGCTAAAGATTATCATTCCTAACTATGCCTTACGGGTTTCAGGTGTGTAGGGGGCTTCTCTACATAGCTTTACTGTAACTAGGAAAAGTAGTTTTTATGGGTTACTATAAAAGTTGTGGAATGGGGATAAGACTATAAAAATTACTTGTTTACGATATGGAACCACATTTAATTTCAATTTCATTTGAATGAAACGATACACAAGATTATTTGAGTTTGAGCTGATTACACAGACACCTGTCAGTGTGTTACTTAAAAGTGATAGAAAAAAAAGATTCCAATGTTTTACTGAATTTACCGGTGGCGGCTCTAAGATTATTCAAGCACTATTTGCCCTATGCTCTACTAACACTTTCTTTGTTGTGTTTTTTAATGAGCGTCACTCTTTTTTTTCTCGTTCCAAACATGAACGAAACTGAGAATTCACGTATTCTAAGTTATATTTTATTATTTTTGTATCTCACTCAGCAAAATAACACAGGGCATGAATACTAAAATGAGCAGTATTTACAATCAGTAATCCCCAGATGGGTCTCTCCTTCCCCTAGCACAGGTGGGGCCCTAGGCGGTTACTTTGTTCGACTAGACCTTGAGCTACCACCAGGATTTACCCCTATGCTCTTTTCCTTATAAAAATAGAAAAACCTTTCCATTTCATTATTATAGTACCATATTTTCCAGCAGGGTATATTTTGATTATATTGAATCAATGTTCTTCATATACTACGCCTATTGAAAAAACATTGAAATCGTTTATACTAATTGTGTTCTGTACGTTATCCAATCTCCAATAGTTGGCTGAAAATTATCAAGTGAACCAGTTTAATTTATTGTGTATATATATATGGTGTGCATGTTAAATCTAGAAGGACTTTGTTAGCGATCATCCCAGAAGCGATAAATTTTAGTTAGTGTGATATCGTTCTCTACCACGATTCGGTTTTTCTTGTGGTTATTTCTTTTTACACGATATGTTTGCACCCAAGACCCATCACGTGCCAGGCGAGTGCTCTACAAACTGAGCTAAAGGGTAACTCATATGTTCCTAAGTCTACTGTAATGAGCTAAGCCACTTAGGAAGACATATCGTATCCTGATACTTAAAAACACAACTCTCTTTCAAGGTTATATATTTTTATCAGCATTTTATTTTGTTTGTTTCTTTTTCTACAAGTTTAGCACACAAATAGTAAGAAGTACAAAGAAATCAGACTTTTAATTTAAAATAGGAATGTTAAACACACCAGCGGAACTCTACACAGCCTGTTTAGGAGGCTTAGGATACTAGTTGAAATAGACAATACGGGTGTGATGCTTACACGTACTTATGCATGCACATCTCGGTTTTCTATCCGAGAATAGAAGCTACTGCAAACCAAGGACGGGTAAAAATCTTGAAAAACTGCCAGATTTTGGATAAGGGTTATTGTTGTAAAAATACGTGTCGTTTTACGACAATTAATGATGAAGTCAGAACTGTGTTGTTGTCAACATATGTCAATATGGGGATAGGTTATTTCATTGAACTTCTTTTTTCCCCACGGTTACTGTTTATGAAAAACACATGTGATTTGTGTATTTTAAATCAGTTATCATGGCGATTGTTAAGTATTATGGAAATATCTCTTCGATATAAAAACTACTTAATTTTAAGTAAATGTGACTTCAAGCTGACCTTCGTATGCTTCTTTTTCTAAGGTTACTAATTTTAGCATTTTTTAACTATCCTATGCCATATTAACAAACAAACTACATTAAACATCCTACTCATACATGTAATTACAGGTCAATTAAGACCTCGCAGTGAGGCAGATACCAAGTTTGTAAACTTATTTTATGACTATTAGGTGTTTCACAATAAGGAGAAAGGAAAGACAGCACAACTTTGAGTAGAAACGCACAGCCCATCTTTAGCTGATAACTGTCAGTTGGAATATGTCACATTTCATTTGATTTCAGTGTCTACTGTCGGTTGGAATGTGTCACATATCATTTATTTTTGTGTCTACTATCAGTTGAAATATGTCACATCTCCTTTTCTTTTAGTGTATAACTATCGAATGTAACTTAAAACACTCCCTTTGCCTTCAATGTCTAACTACTGGTTGGAATATAAAACATTTCCTTTATTTTCAATGTCTAACTATTATTTGGAATATGACATATTTTCATTTGTTCTCAATGTCTAACTACCTTTGCAATATAAAACTTTTTTTTAATGTCTAACTATCTGTTGGAATATAAAACATTTCCTTTGTTTTCAATGTCTAACTATCGGTTGGAATATGACATATTTCCCTTTGTTCTCAATGTCTAATTACCGTTTGGAAAATAAAACATTTCCTTGTTTTCAATGTCTAACTATCGGTTGGAATATGACATATTTCCCTTTGTTCTCAATGTCTAACTACCGTTTGGAATATAAAACATTTCCTTGTTCTCAATGTCTAACTACCGTTTGGAATATAAAACATTTCCTTTGTTTTCAATGTCTAACTATGTGTTGGAATATAAAACATTTCCTTTGTTTTCAATGTCTAACTATGTGTTGGAATATGGCACATTTCCCTTTGTTTTCAGTGTATTCTCACTGTTGATCAATCCGATGGTGATAGTATCAACTGGAATAATTGAAATATTACTGGTTCCAAGGTGATGTGTCAAAATGCAGATTATATCTTCGTTTTAGAGCAGTGGATATTCATATTAAAAATATTATATAACACAGTAACTGACAGCCAAGTAGTTAAATGATCGATATCACCCTAAGTATCTGGGTTTTTCTAACATGTTCTTTCACCCCCAATTTTATTTTAGAAATATTTATGGATTGTATTCCTCCTAATTTTAGTCATAACGCTAACCAGGTCCTATTTGGTTTTAATATTTTCTCTATTTTCAAATAAATTTTATTCACCAAGAGAAATCGTTACAAATACTGTCTCAAGGGTTACAGGTACTTCATAGTTCTATATAGGAAGAACAAAGGTTGTTATTAAGAAACAAAAACCACATACTTTTTCTTGGACGAATCTGAAATTCCACAGGTTGTCTGTCATCAGAGTAAAGATAGTTTCATAGTTATTCTAACCTTTAAAAAAAAAAACGTCTTCGTGGGCGTTATACAAGGATAAGAACTCTGACAACAGAAATTAACGGGTCCACCAACTTGCGGTTCGTAAGGTTGGACTATTTTTACTTCACTGGATTTTCAATTTGTGCATGCGCGAAATGCAACAGTTATGTCATGCTCTAATATCGTCATAGCATGGTTTATATTCAGTTTAATACACTGTAGAACGTCTACTTGCTTTAGTCGTCCTCGCCATTACTTGTTTATATAATCTAAGCCGAGGATCTTTACTAAATCTTTCCATTACCGATGTTTGACAAACGTGTTTCAGCACCATATTAGTTAAATTTTTTGACATAATTCTAACAAAAACCTTCTTTCAAGCGGTTTAGACGAAAATATTTGTAGTTTATACTGGAATGATGCCATAAAAGCTTAGGATCTCTAGCAGAGAGCTTCCAGAGTCGGTAAGAAGAAACCAAAATGTAGTAAAAAGATACGTATTATATAAATGTAGCGATTTGGTAGTTCTTCTATATAATTTCAAAGAGACTTACTTGCTATTTTGACTAGTTGATAAAATCATTTGAACTGTTAAGCTTTTTTGATTTGAATATTTCTAAAATAGCATGGTACAAATTAAGAACATAATTTTTGAAAAAAAAGTAAGAAATACAACGCATAAAAATTGTCTAATAGAAGTGAGAAGATATTTGTTTAAACACGCGAAGTTTTTGATCATAGAATTACTAATAACGCACAAAAAATAAATAAAAATACCTTCAATAATGAAATCGAATCCACTAATTACTGATGGAGTTTCGAGTGATTTTACCAAATTTACTTGGTCAGTTCTTTACTGAGTGTCGTGAAAGGAAAAAGTATACAACTGATCATTATGATGCAATATGTGGACTCACCGGTAGAGAATGGTACATAAAAATATGGGTAATTTAAGGGGTTACCATGGCCACGTAAGGATTTTAATATAGAATGTCATTATCTATATCACCAGCTCGTTTGCATTACTCTACTTCCTGAAGGCTGATTTGTTAACGACGTATTTGGTACAGTCGTTCAGGTCAATTTTTTCCTATAAACTATAGGTGGTGTTAATAACTTACACGTGTCAACTAAGTGCCAGATTTGGGAGGGAGGGGTTCAATATTACATCCTACTATCAGCGCAGCATAAAATGAAGTATTAAAGTGGAATGATGACAGTTTGCTGCGTGGTCAGATGGTCAAGAAATATTATCGAGTTATCCTTAGCGTTACCATTAGGGGGCTACAGTTAGGAAGAGCTCAGTCGACTTGAGCTCAGTATAACTTGATTTTTAATCAAATTTTGAAGAATTCTAAAAATTCGGCGTAGTGGTAGTGTAGAGTTTATTTTTGGAATGAGAAGGCAGATTGCTTCTATATACCAAACACTTGTGAATCCAGCTAAACTGAAATCCGAGAAGGTAATGCAAGTTTTCTGTACTCATTCCACAAGCGAGTATTAAACAAGGTTGTTCTAACTAAGTTTTAGTTTAAGGTTTTCATAAAATAATAGCGAGTTCTTGTCCAAACTGCATATATATTAGTGGTTATTGTCGCAATGATAACTGAGATTTCAAACTTACAGCAGGCAATTTACTCTGCTT